GTAATGGCTTGATACAGTCATTTTATCTGCCAGGCACTCTGTGTGGAAGGGGACATCATCCCCTCTCCCCAAGTTCACAGCCTTATGGGAGAGGCAGATAGACGAGCAAATAATGCCAACACACCGTGATAGAGGCGGCAGTCAGAGATTCAAGGATAGTTTTAAAAAGAGAGGTGTCGTTCAAATTGTTTTGAAGAACAAGAAGTAAGTTGCTTAGTTAGAAAAGGGAGCACACTCACACGAGGAAGAGGGAGTTGAGTATGCAGAGGCGAGCTGGCCCCCAGCACAGCGGTCAGGTTCTGTACAGAGGAAGCCGGATCCCTCACGGTTGACGGGGGTTTGAAGCCCGGCCCACTGGCAACACACTGGGCACACACGTGCTCAGGGTCCTGATGGGACGAACTGGAAGGGAAAGGACTGCAGCATGACCAGGTCCCGTTGCAGTGTGCTTCCTTCCTCTCCCCCTCTCAGGCAGACAGACATGGTCTCTACTATGAATACAATTTACAGACAGACGTGAGAAGCTGCTGCTTGTGGGCCGTGATTCCACGACAGGAGAGGTGACCAGCGAGAGTCCACCTTACAGATGTGTTTTCTGTGCTTTGCTAACGATTTGGAATTTTATGATGCTCAACGACAGAGAACCATGATTTTTTTTTTTTCAGGTTTTTGCTATAGGGCATGTGCTCGCCAGAAAGACAGAGAGAAAGAAAGAGAGAAATCACCCCCCACGATGGGTGGCCATACCACAATCCTTTCTCCTCCATTCTCCTCTCGGGATCTTGGACATGCACGCACACACACCTGGCATGAGTTTAAGCCACCAGGTCCGGGAATTGAACCGCAGTCAACTACATGGGAGTCCAGCGACATAGCCATTAGGCTAACTGCTGGTCCTGAGAACTTTCAAAGGCCTGGAATGGTACAATTGGATTTTTGTATGAGAAATCAGTAAAAAAGGGTAAAAGCTAGGGGGTTTGTTTAGCCTATCACGAAAGCCCTGGGAAGAACTGATGGCCGGAAAAAAGACTCTAGCAGGGGCCCGGGGAACCAGAGCAGGGTAGCCCACCAGACATACTCCTTGGGAGCGGGAGGGTGAGGGGCTGGCAGGGGGCATGGTGGTTAACGGCACTGGATTCTCACATGGCCAGTGCAGTTTGAGTCCCAGACCTGGCAGCTTGCTTTTTCATTTTCCTTCTCTCTCTGGTCAAATTAAAAAATAATAATGAAAAAGAAATGTTATACACTGTAAAGATGTATGTGCTTAAATGTAATATAAAAATAATAAGTAACAAACAGAATGAAATAAATACATATTTAAAAAAAGAAAGTGGGAGGGTGAGAGAGGAGGGTCTGTGGGAGTCTGACACGCTGCAATGCAGTGAGTTAGGAAATCGATGAGGGAGCCACTGGGGGTTTCACTTCTGGGTGAGGGTGGAGAACATGGCACACGCGTTACATGTTGAGCACTTTGGGTCTGAGGTAGGATGGAAGATACCAGAGGAATGCAACTGTCCTCAAGTGACTTACAGCTCATACCTCTTTGAAGATTCTCATGTACTTAGAACAACATATTAGGTAACGGTGGGTGTAGCTAGAGCTTCTCCCCATTCTGGCAATTTTTTTCTTCCTTCTTTCCTTTTTTTCTTTCTTTTCTCTTCTTTCTTTCTTAAAGAGATTTTTGCTATAGGGTTCATGTGCTCGCCAGAGAGACAGAAAGCGAGAAATGACCCACCAGGGCAGATGGCCATGTCACAGTCCCCTCTCCTCTATTCTCCTCTTGAGATTCTGGGTGTGTATGCACACACACCTGGCATGAGTCTCAAGCTGCTGGGTCCAGGCCTTGAACTGTGGTGGCCACATGGGAGTCCAGTGCCTTAACCACTACATGGCCTGCTGGACCCTCTGGTTCTTTTCTTATGGTAATTGCTTCTTTGCCTTTCCTGCTACAATATAAGCTCCTGACAGTGGGAAAGTATGGGGCTGGCAGGCGGGGTGGGGGTTAAAGGGGGTATTCCCACATGGCTGACCGTGGTTCGGGGTCCAGGTGGCTTGCTTCCTCGCTTTCTCTCTCTCTCTCTCACTCTCTCTCTCTCTGGCCAAATTAAAATAAAAGTTAAAAAAGAAAAAAAGAAAGTGGGAAAGCATATACTTGGAACATATGAATACTTAATATTTGATGAGTGAATAATTTTAATTTATTTTGGTTTAATTTTCTCAAGTAAGAAACTGGGTAATAGTATTATCTTGTCTATCCTACAAGGTTGGCAAGAGTATTAAATGTTAAAAGCCTTGTCCATTATACAAGTATTTTCTATTAGATTTGTTATTTTTTATTACTATTTTACTGCTAATGTTCTAGTCCACTAAAAGGAGAAAGGAGTGGGATAAGTGATCACAGAATAGGTGTCAGCCACAGTAGCCAACGACGTAATCCACCGTGGTGTCTTTCCTGCATATGATATAAAAACCTTTTTGGGGCCAGCAGGTGGCATGGGGGTTAAGGGTGCCGGACTCCGATTGTGGCTCGAGTCCTAGACCTGGCAGCTTGACTTCTCGCTTTCTCTCTCTCTCTCTCTCTCTCTCTCTCTGTCCTTCCCTGGTCAAACTAAAATAAATCAATAAAGTTAAATAATTTATTTTTCTTTTTTTTTGAGAGGTTTTTGCTATAGGGCACATGTGCTCACCAGAAAGACAGAGACAGAGAGATAGAAAGTGAGAAGTCACCTCCCAGGGGGGATGGCCACGCCGCAATCCCTTCTCCTCCATTCTCCTCTTGGGATCTTGGGCATGCACACACATGCGCCCAGTGTGAGTTTAAGCCACTGGATCCAGGACTCGAACCACGGTTTACTACATAGAAGTCCAGTGACATAGCCATTACGCCAACTGCTGGTCCCAATAAAATAATTCTTAAAAAAAAAGAAAAGAAAAAAAAAAGGACTTGATTCTTTTTGAATAGAAGAATTTAACCTTTGTTTCGGTAAACGCAAATAAGGCTAGACATGAGCAGCAATCACACAGGAAGCAAAATATTCCGGGTTGGTCTCCAAGGACACAGCGCTAGAACTGCTTTGCATGCTACCTTTATGTTACTTTAGGCTTAAGTGATCTGAGTCTCAAACTGATTAATTGTGAAGAGCAGAAATTCACTCAAACAAGGCAATTTACTGGAATAAGTAACTTACATTGTCTCCAAGGGCGGGAGGTGAGGCAGGTCTCATAAGGGTGGGGGTGCAGGAATGGGCAGTTGGGAACCACGGCTATCCTC